GGAAATAAGAGAGGACACAATCAGATGGAAAAACATTACATGCTCATGGTAAGGAAGAATCAGTATCATGAAAATGGCCATACTGCCTAAAGTAATTTATAGATTCAACACTATCCTCATCAAGCTACCAATTACCTTCTTCACAGAACTGGAAAAAACCACTTTAAACTTCATATGGAATCACAAGAGAGCCCGCATAGCCAAGACAATTCTAAGCAAAGAAAACAAAGCCGGAGGCATCATACTGCCGGACTTCAAACTATACTACAAGGCTACAGTAATCAAAACAGCATGGTACGGTACCAAAACAGAGACATAGTCCACTGGAACAGAACAGAGGCCTCAGAAGAAATACCACACATCTACGACCATCTGATCTTTGACAAACCTGACAAAAATAAGCAATGGGAAAAGGATTCCAAGTTTAATAAATGGTGTTGGGAAAACTGGCTAGCAATGTGCAGAAAGCAGAAACTGGACCCCTTCCTGTCACCTTACACTAAAATTAACTCCTGATGGATTAAAGATTTTAAAATAAAACCTAACACCATAAAAACACGAGAAGAAACCATAGGCCAAACCATCCAGGACATAGGCACAGGCAAGGTCTTCCTGACTAAAACACCAAAAGCAGTGGCAACAAAAGCCAAGATAGACAAATGGGACCTAATTAAAATTCAGAGCTTCTGTACAGACAAGAAACCATCATTAGAGTGAACCGACAACCAACAGAATGGGAAAAACTTTTTGCAGTCTACCCACGTGACAGAGGGCTAATATTCAGAATCTACAAAGAACTAAAACAGATACACAAGAAAAAAACAACCCCATTCAAAAGTGGGCAAAGGATATGAACAGACACTTTTCAAAAGAAGACATATATGAGACCAAGAAAAATATGAAAAAATGCTCATCATCACTGGTCATTAGAGAAATGCAAATCAAAACCACATTGAGATACCATCTCACACCAGTTAGAATGGTGATCTTTAAAAAATCTGGAGACAACAGATGCTGGAGAGGATGTGGAGAAATAGGAACACTATTACAGAGTTGGTGGGAATGTAAATTAGTTCAACCATTGTGGAAGACAGTGTGGCAATTTCTCAAGGATCTAGAAATAGAAATTCCATTTAACCCAGCAATCCCATTACTGGGTATATACCCAAAGAACTATAAATCGTTCTACTATAAAGACACACGCACATGTATGTTCATTGCAGCCCTGTTTACAATAGCAAAGACCTGGAACCAACCCAAATGCCCATTAATGATAGACTGGACAAGGAAAATGTGGCACATATACACCATGGAATACTATGCAGTCATAAAAAAACGATGAGTTAGTGTCCTTTGTAGGGACATGGATGAATCTGGAAACCATCATTCTGAGCAAACTGACACAAGAGCAGAAAATCAAACACCGCATGTTCTCACTCATTGGTGGGTGTTGAACAATGAGAACACATGGACATAGGGAGGGCAACATCACACACTGGGGTCTGTAGGGGGGAAACAGGGGAAGGACAGCAGGGGGTGGGGAGTTGGGGAGAGACAGCATGGGGAGAAATGCCAGATATAGGTGATGGGGAGGAAGGCAGCAAACCACATTGTCATGTGTGTACCTATGCAACAATCTTGCATGTTCTTCACATGTACCTCAAAACCTAAAATGCAATAATTAAAAAAAAAACAAAACTAAAAAAAAAAACAAAACAAAAAACCTGCCAGCTCTTTTCACACGTGTGCCTCCTTTGTGGATCAGTTGTGGGGGGTGGCTAGGGGAGGGACACCAGGGGGTAGGAAGGGTGGGGAGGGATAACATGGGGATAAATGCCAGATATAGTGTGCACCTATGCAACAACCCTGCATGACCTGCACATGTATCCCAGAACCTAAAATAAAATAAAATTTAAAAATCATAATAATAATAATAATGGTGATAAGACATAACTACTAGTGCGAAGGGAGATTCCAGTTTCAGCAACACCCTCAAGAAAACCACAAGCTCCTTAAAACAAACTATTCTCTTGGCCATGCCCATTTCTCCTAGCAAATCATTACAAGCTTGTCCTGATGCAAAAACCTTGCCTTCCTTTGACATCACACTATTTCTCATCAACCCCCACTTCCTTGCCAGCAACAGCTGACTGACCTGTCATCTTCTTCACTGAGGTTTTTGGCATGTGACCAATTAATACCTTCAAAATAGTATCTTAAATATCCAAATGTCCATCCCACAAGATAAGTTATTTGACCTGCTCTTTCCCAACCACCTTCACAACACTGCACAATAACAACCACTGCATGACCATACCTTAGACTTTAACTCTGAAAAATCTTATATTGCACTGCAATAAAAGCATGCCTGACCAAATAAGCAACCTCTGACTGCAGATTTTTTTTTTTTTTTTTGAGATGGAATCTCACTCTGTCACCAGGATGGAGTGCAGTAGCATGATCTCCTGGCTGCAGATTTTTATCCCTCAACTTTCTAGTTCCTTTGGCCACAATCTTTGCTCTTCAATGTTAGCCACATGGAAGTACTTTACATGGTTTCAGACTAGTCTCGTTCGGTTTGTAACAGTCTTCTTAATAGTTTTCATCTTCTCTGTTCCTAATTTCTTGCTCCACTGCTGTCCTAGTCTACTTCAGAGAGAAGAAATACAATCAGTCAAGATTCACATCAATTTCCCCAGATCATCCTTATCAACTTATCCAATCTTACTGGTCTCCTCTCAATCCATCAGAGGAAGAGATCCCTGGTCTCCTGTTGAATGCTATATATTCTATTTTTTATCAAATCCCCTCACATCTCCTCATGTCCTTTCTCCATCAATTTCTGTTGAATGAAATGAAGGCTTTTTATACTTCTTTAAGCTTGCCTGTCACAATTATCACTCTTAATTATAACTTTGTTAAAATGTCCTACCTGGATTTCCAAGATATCATTCTCTTCTGATTCTCCTCCTATTTCTCATATGGTCTTTTATTTTTATTTGCTAGGTCCTTTTTCTAAATTCTTTCGTTAAACCATTAGTGTTTGAAAGTCTCATCCTCTTCTTATTCTGTGTACAATCTCATCCAAATCCCATGATATCAGCTACCACCTAAGAATTACTGGCTCACAAATATTTCACTCTAATCTCAATTTCTCCCTCAACTCTTGACCCTACCAATTATTATGTACTAATCTGTTCCACCTAGATTTTCTTGGTTAAGCTTGAAGTCCTCCCATCTAACACAATATGCAAACAACAACAAAGCAAACCAGATTTGCCCCTGTTCTCTTCAAATCTTCTATCCTGTCTGTATCCTCTACGCTGGCAATAGCATTATTATCCACCTAGTCACCCAAAGTCATTATCAACCCACCCTTAAGGGTAAACTTTTTCCAGAATAGCAAAGCAGTTAAGAATACAGTCACTTAATTACCTAAGTTCAAATCCTTTTCCTACCACCCTCCTGCTCTAAGACCGTGGGCAAATTACTTAACCTTCTGTAACCCAATTTCCTCATCAGGGAGAAAATAATACCACACAATCTGCAGGGTGAGGTGGGTATGAAATGATTAACACTTGTAAAGTACTTAGAGCAGTGACTGGCACAAAATGTTGAAAAAAAATGTTTACTGGTAGTGTTATTATTATCACAGCCAATCAATCAACATGTAATATATATTTTGTTTTCTATAAGATCAGCTCTTCTTCTCCATATCCCTAATTCTACTTTTGTTTGTATATTTAACATCTCTGAAAGATTATTATTCCATAGTTCATCAATATTAAAATGTGTATCTTCTGCATTTTACCATCTCTGACCTGGGAGTTCTTATACTTGATAGCATATCATGGTTTCATAGGCAGGAGGCAGCATTTTTCTTTCTTAGGAGCATATGCATCTAGTAATAACAGCAGTGATGCATCTTACAAGGTGTCTTAGGTTTAATGAAATATAGTAAGGGTCTCTTACCTCTCTAGCCTCCATTCTGACCCACCACACCACCTGAAGACCCCAAATCCACTAATGCCAGAAGGCTATCTAGGACTGGGGAAGAACTTATAAAACAGCTATATCATTTAACAGATGTCAGCTATTTCAATATCATTTCATCTTGCATCATAAGCATTTTTAAAGTAGTAGTTGCATTTCAAAGACTTTTGAAAACCATTATAATAATAAACCTTTGAAGATTTATCCATTCATTCATTCACCTATATTCAGTAGATATTAACAATGTTCCAAAAATCTGTTCTAGGTACCGGAGATATAGCTATAAGCAAAACAGACAAAAATCCTTATCCTCAGAGTCTTCATTCTAATAAAGGGAGATTAAAAAACAAATAGTACAGAATCTGTATCATATGATGGTAAGTGCTAAAGAAAAAAAAAAAAAAACAAAAACGGGAAGAGGAACAGATTCATCACACTCCTGACACTCATGTTATAAAATGATTGCCCTGCATGGTGATGATGCTAATAACATCAGACTTTAGAAACATTTCCTCAAATGCAAGATCCCAATTAGACATTTACCCAGGCTACTTTGATTTGGAAAAGAAGGAGTAAATCTCAAAAGCCTTGGGTTTACACAGCCCATAAGCTGATCCACTTTAGTTACCATACTAATAAGGATTGTGGTTATAGCTTCTCTGGCCTTGATGAGTCTTTGCCTTTTATATTTTAGGAGGTCATAAATGTTGGATGAGGGCACTTTTCAGGTCCATGACTTACTGCCACCTCTGCCTTTCCTGAACTCCCCAAACAGCTAAACGTTCTTTATAAAGGGCTTCAATGCTCTGAAATAGGTGCTCCCAGGTGGCTGTTATAACTCATTTCAACCTGGCTGAACAGGCATGAATAAGCCTCTTTATTGTTGGTTTTATCTTCCCTTCAGTGCTTGGGAATACAGAATGATCTCTAAAAGTTTACGCTTTATTAACTTCATGAGCCACCGGAAAAATTCCTTCAGTATCATCAGGATAATTCAGCAAAGGTACCTTCAGTGTCCTGATATGATTCTCGGCCTCACTCTTTTCTTTCTTAAAGTGCTTCATCAGCTCCTGGATATTTTGTTCATGCTTCGTTTTCACACTCTGCAGTGATGATGTGAGATCTTTCAGCTCCCTCTGGTGCACGTCTCGTTCCAGCTTTAACTGTGTGATGATGGTATCTGTTTCTTCATCCCTGGATTTTGCCTGTGCAGTGAGGTCAGAAAGGTTCTTAAGCACTGCTTTCTTGGCTCTCTCTTCCTCAGCCAATTTATTAGCGAGATCTGCTCGGATGGCACTCAGGTCCTTGATGGACTCTTGCATCTCAAGAAGCTTAGCTTTGTCCTGGGCCTGGCTCTTCTTGAGCTCTGCGATTTCTTCCTCCAAATGAGCTTTCTCAACTTTCATCTGGCTTTGGATCTTACTCTGCTTTTTCAATTCACTTTCCAGTCTATGAATGGTATCCAGGGAATTCTTGACTTCCAATTCAAGGTCAGCTTGATGAGCCTTAATATCACTTAGTTTCTCCTCCTTAGAGTGAAGCTCCTCCTCCTGAAGGGCACGCTTTGTTAGGACATCATTCAATTCCTTTCGAAGATTCTCTATTTGTTGTAATGCTGCGTAGAGTTGGCTTTTCAATTCATCCTTTTCTTTCAAAATCTATCAGGTTAAGAACATGAAGCAAAAAGAAAAGTTACTGTAAAATTCACCATAGAGTCTGCCAGTTTGCAAAATAAAGTTTAACCCACATGGAGAAAAAAAAAAAAAATCCATCAATAATTTTTGTATTTTTTCCATTTTGTAAAAAAAATACTTTTACACCAGAAAGGGGGGAAATATATAACTGTCCTGAAATAGCAACATACTGAATGTATTTCAGATTTTCATCACCAAAACTTATTTCAATCCATGGTCACAAATAATTATTTAAATGTAGATAAAATTGAGCAAACAAATGGGGAAAGAAAAGACTCTCATTATAAAGAAAATTTACCAGAGGTTGAAGTAATACAGTATTACCTAAAATAACAATGATGTGCATCCCAATGATACACTTTTAAAAAGGAGAAACCCCAAACAGAGAGAGAAAATAATATACGGAAACATGCAGGTACAATATAAGAAAGTGTATGGTACATTCAGCCATTATTTTAAAAATATCAATGGTGACAAAAACTCACCAATATGCAACTGGGAGCCTTGAAGCCCACAAAGGTAAACATAAGATTAAGTTAGGAGAGGTTGGGAAAAGGCTCAAGTGAGAAGTCAAGGGCCTAGAATTCCATCATTCTATGCCAGCCTCTCTACGATTTACATTGAGGGACAGATGTCAAGGGTTAACCCTTGTGGCCTCTAATTCTCACCACCAAATTATTGAAAATAAAATAGCGGGCAGCCAAGGGAGCCAAGATTGTTTTCCATTCAACACTGGCACCAAAGATAATCTCCGTGCCTACTTACTGATGCTCACACCATGTCATGAAACAGGCAAGAAAAAAAGGAACCAGTTAAGACTCATTACAGAATTACAAATAATGAGTTAAAATGCAAATATTTGCAAGACATTTCTACACTTTACATTTCATACTTTAGTATAAAACAATTTATGATAAAATTTAATGAGTCAATCAGTCAAAAAAAAAAAAAAGTTTCCCCAATCCTTCTCAGTTTTAACTGAAACAAAGAGCACAAAGCTAACATGAGAACTAATAAAAGGAGAATAAGCAGTTGAGCTCCAACTGGAAAGAAGTGAATTTGATTCTTAGTTCAGTCATGGGCAATTCTATGGCCTCAAGAAAATCATTTCTCTTACTAGAGAAAATAATAATAGCTATTTCATAAGATTGTGATGAAGATCAGTGAAAACGGGGAAACAAAAAGTTAGAGAAGAATTTAATTTCAAGGAGGTCCTAGGGTCTCAGGGAGGTATTTATGCAAAGTAGTGATCAAAACTGTAAAAACAGACAGGCACAGTGGCACACAACTGTAATCCCAGATACTTGGAAGGCTCAGGCGGGAAAATAGCTTTGGCTCAGGAGTTCGAGACCAGCCTAGGCAATATAGCAAGACTCCATTTCTACTGTGAAAAAAATGGATAACTGAAGAGCAGGAACTCTGGTACACAGATGGAGGATTTCACTTTCAAAAGAATGTAAGGTAGGAGCAATATAGATGAGCCTAAGGGTAGACATATTATTTTTCTATTGCTGCATAACAATTTCCAACAGACTTAGTACTTAAAACCATACTCATTTTTTATCTCACTGTTTCCAATAGGTTGAAAGGCCAAGCAAGGTATTCAACTTAAGGCCTCCTAAGACTAAAATCAAGGTATCAGCTGGCCAGAGTTCTTATCCGGAGGCTGAGGAGAATCCATGTCCAAGCTCATTCAGGTTTCTAGTAGAATTTGTTTCCATACAGTTGTAGGACTTTGGGTCCCCATTTCCTTGCTAGCTTTTGGCCAGGGGTTATTCTAAACTTCTAGAAGCCAACCTTGTTCCTTGGCTCGTGGACTCTGCCATCTTCAAAGTTTGCAATAGCTGGATGAAGCCTTTCCAAGCGTCAACTCTATCCGACGTCCCCATGTCTCAATAGCCAGAAAAAAACTTCTGTTGAGGGCTAGTGATTAGATTAGGCCCATCCAGATAATGTGATCCCAGGAGTAATGTCTTATCATATTCATGGGTTCCAGAAATTAGGGTGACTTCCTGGTGGGTAGGGGTCATTCCACTTACCAAACTAGAGAACACAAAAACTGACAGAATCAAGTTTGGGCTGTAAAGATAACGTGGGAGGGACTGAACGAGGGTAGGGGTCTTCAATATAGTGACATATGTTTGAAGCAGATAACTTAGCCCTCTTGGCATGAGTTGAGAGAATTACAGGCAGTGCTGAGGATTAAAATAATATTTTCACAATGAAGTCCTACCATGTAAAGCATCTTTAATTATGAAACATTATGTCTTCCTGAAATTGGATTAAAAAGCAAAGGTATTTCTTTTTCTCACATAACAGGAAGTCCAGAGGTAGGGTGGTTCAAGAAGAATCCCTCAAAGCTCAGGCTCTGCTATTCTGTAACTCTCCATCTTTTGCTGTCTCTGTAGTGTTCCAAGCTTCACATCAATTCCTGACAAAGAAGATAGCCTCAGGGCAGACAGTCACAGACCAGGTGGGTCAAGTTTGGCATTTCTTTGGCAATACAGATACTAAAAACTAAGCTCTGCCAATTTGCTTCTGGTTAATTGCTTGCCTAGTAGCACAGCTTAAGATTTTGTCTAGACATTTTCTCTGAGTCTGAAAATGTCAATGTCTTTACTGCCATCTCAATACCCTGGACATACCTAGGGCCCTCAGTTAAGTAGCCTTTATCATCAGGCAAATCAAAACAGTGGAATTGGGTCCCCTTTGTCTGGCCAGGAATGCTTAAGTACTTGAAAGGATCCCGAGGAAAAGGCTTGATTTTTAACCTCTTTTCTTTTTTTTCCTGTTTCCTGCCTCCCTCTTGTGCTTGCTCTAACTTCTGTTTCGATAAATAATTTGGCTTTTCCAAGCCTAAGGGGTTCCAAATCATCAGACTCATACTCAATTTGGATTACAGATTGCAGACTTCAGGGTTCCCACCTTAAAAAACAAACAAACAAACAGAAACAAACAAAACTCTCTGCTTTTAGACGACCAGTTTCAACTTAAACTTGTCTTTATCTTGTAAGAACTTTCTAAAGGCTGAAATATGTACACAACATACTCCAACATCCTAAAGTTTTCCTACCAGTCACTTAATACTATCCTCTGATTCATAGCATCGAGGCCTCTAAATATGATTTCTGATGGTTTAAACCAACTGCTTCCAACCGCATAGCAAGGTTTACTATCTTTCTCTTTAGAACAGTATGATCCTCTATTGCCCCTAAACCTACTTTTCCTCGCAGTCAGTCCTACAATTTCAGTTCTTATTTCTAGTTTATTACATAAACTTGAATTTCTTCTGCTGAGGGCAAGAGAAAATCCCAATCTGAAATGACTTAAACCACAAGAAAATCATTCCAGGCATTCATACATGACCACTGAGACAGGTAAGGGGGGGAAAAAAAAAGAAAAGAAAATCATTCCAGGCAGAACTGCTCCAGACACAGTATGTGAAAGCTCTAGGTTCACCTCTCTACAATTTTGTACTTAGTGATGGTCTTAGATTAATTATCAAATGGAATGGATAGGGGAAGGGAGGAGGTAACCATGACTACTACAGAAGCCAACTGACACTTCTATGCAAGTTTTGCTGTTACTATTTAGGAGAAGGAATGGAATAAGTGGAAAGTGGAGTTGACTCCAGATTATAAATCAGTAAAATGTATGAGGGCGAAGAAAGAAATTGAAGATGTTGGTGAGAACATCATCAAAGTAGCTTTCAATGAAGTCCAATGTGACAGGAAAAAAATTAAATCCAGAAAATGGCTAGCAAACCAGAGGAATGTAGAAAGATCAAAACTGGGTATTAATAGTTTAAAAAGCTAGGGGGTAGGGAATAGAAGAATTATGAAAGATCAGAGACTGAGCTTTGAAACGGAAGGTTTGGACATGGAACAATTAAAGATGAAGATAAAATATAAACACAGAAATCAGACACTGAAGTAGAATTATTTTAGTTAAGGTCACTATAAAATAAGACATCAGTGAATTATAAGGATACAGGCTTCAGTAAGTTACAGACTTGAACTCTGAAGTTACTAAGGATGATGGCAAGAATTGCATGTCATAAAACAGGTTGATGCAAAGCCAAGTGCTAAAATCCTTGAGAAATGTAGGGGCATAAATGAAAAAACTAGCCAGCAGTCAAGAGAAAAACGGGGAAAAGGATGTTCTAACCAGGCAAACCAAGCTTCCAAAAGGGGCAAAAGAAAAGATTATTGAAAGACCTGAAAACTGTGTGAAGCCAAAAGAGCTGAAAACCTGTGTGAAGCCAAAAGCATGATACTATCTAAAACCATGGCAGTTATAGGAACGGACGCCAACTCCTCAAAGACCTGAACACAAAGTAATATATACAGTTAGGTTTTTTTTAATTACAGCAAGGTAGATGAGGGGATTGTTAAATGTGTGTTTTGTTTTGTTTTTACCTGCATGTGAGGGAAAATGCAGGCAGATGGCTGGATTATACTAAAACATAGTCTAGCGTTTCTTGAACAAAAAATAGTACACTTTGGCATTGATCCTTCTTACTTTCAACCATTCAAAAATTCAGATTTTACAAGATAGCATATATTATATATAATTCTTTTTTTCTGTCAGCAGGAGGGAAATACACAGAAAGAAAATATGGTAATTTAAGATTCTTGACATCAAATACTATCAAGGAAAAAGCTCAATATATAAGCAAGTCAGTTATTCTGCCAATTCAGCATGGGAGGAAAAAACCCTAGCAAGTATTCCCATTATCCATATTTTTAAAAATGAAAAAAATTGGAAATATTCAGAAAAGCAATATACTATGATCGGAGTCCAAGTCCAATTTTTTCCTTTATCGTTTCCAAAGCACCTGTACAAACCAATGATTTCAAACAGCACCTTAAAAGAAAAACAGAAGCAAAAATACCACAATTTACGACTAGATTATTTGTATCTACAAACTTTCGGTCTCCTAATATCTGTTACCTACATATCCCTGACGTATATCATGATTTCCTGATGTAAATATCCATTTCATTGTCTTTTGAGGAAAGTATACAATTTAATCTGTCTGGGTTTTTTTTTCCTGCAGTGATACGCGATTTGATATTACACATTCGTCAGTAATGAAGTAGTTTTACAACATGATACATATCTGATAATCTTACTAAGATTCCGGAAATGTAAAAAGCAGAAAAAAAGAAAGAAATCAGAGAATTTTTTTCTAAAATTTATATCTAAAAATATACTAAAAGGTAAAAAAGCATTTTGTCTTTTAGTATTTTTTATTTTTTACGGATTTTTTAGTATTTTTTATTTTTTAAGTAGTAAATCTTAAAGCAGAAAATAATTTATGCTAGAAAGAGAAAATTGGCAAGTAGGCACAAAACCATATTGCAAATATGAGAATAGAATCATATGAGCATATAAAATGACTCAGTAAGGCTACTTATTAAGTAATTATTCTTTAAGCCACAATATGTTATATTTGGAAATCAGTATAATTTTTATTTTAATATACACTTCCAAATACCTTAGAGTCACTTTTTGAAAATAATTAGCCTTAAAATCAAAAAGAAAGTAACTGTATTATAAATGCCTTAAGGTGACTTTGTGATTTTATTAAGAATTAAATATCCCTTAGAAATAATACTCTCTAATATATATTTTTTAATTTCTGAAAAATGATTTACCATGTATTTCCACATCACAGATTTACTGAACATATTTCTTACTCTTTTTCCTTGAAAAACCAGTGCCCTAACTGCAACATGCTGCATTAATTTTTAAGGCTTTTAAAGGAGAAATTACAATGCCTGCTGTGATAATTGTGTTACAACCCTAACTGTGGCAATCACTTGAAAACTGCTTCTTTGCTTATCATTAGTAATGCTAAGTGATAAAAATAATTGGAAGTATTCTGGGAAATGATTGTTAAACAATTTTTAATATTCTGAAAACTCAACCTAGAAAAATCTCAGCACCATGAATTGGGATACTGTCTGATGACATGGACCCTTCTAAATCTCTTCTAATTAAGTAAAATCTCCAGATGAGATTTTCAATCAATCAATTCCCTCAACCACTCCTCTCTCTAGCTACCTACCTTATAGTCAGGCTCATTGAGCTAGTTGCCAGATCAGGCTGACAACCGAATAATGAAGATAGAGCAATTTCCTGGGATCAGATCAGTTCAGACACAAGTCTGAAAGCGTTAGAACTGCGTTACTTCAGGGCAACCAGCCACCCAGTATGTGTCAGATGGGTTGAAAAGCAATCCGCAGTGAGGGCAAAATGATCATTTCTTTCATCTATATGTCCGAGAAATTCATATGTAAAAGATAAAGTATCTTTTCCATGACAGCTCATCTGAAATAAGCATCTGTCACTCTTAAATGCTGAAAATTGATTTTACGAATATAATCCCCTACATTTTGTTTTCTTTCCAAAGAAAGTCAACTTATCCAAATGATTATTCTTCTGGAATGTACAGAGTTCTTGACAAGTGACAAATGACAAAGCACAAATGATAAACCGAGAATGAACATGGATAAAAATCAATCATGACTTTCCTGCTTATTATCTTATAAACATCTGGGTTTAATTCAACCCAAAGATCTATCAGATGAGAATTAACATAGGAACATAAAATCCATTTAAAGTAACTGATTATACAAGAGAAAAGATAATGTGAAACGCATACATAGATCAGTGAAATGCTTTCTGTTGCTATCAAAAGGACATAAAAGCAAAGTCTTGAGAGGGTTGTGATCCTATAACACTGCTCAGTCAGTGAGATCCTCAGTGTCACGCATTCAAGTAAAGCCCATTACGGTTGCTGCCAGAAAAATGGCCCTAGTAACTACTGCATTTTTAAAAATGCTTCTTTCTAACCAATTGAAAAATATAAATAAATGGGATTTAAAAATACATGCACTGGGAGGAAAATTACATAAAAATAAGGAAGATTTAGTCATTTTCTTCCATTGGAATATTAGAAGATTAAGGAATAATTCAATTTAGAAAGCTTACACCTAAACTGGGGCAAAGGGTAGATCTATGTGTGAGCCAACTCTGACAAGCCACTCAAAACTAAACTATGAAAAGGCTTAAGTAAAAAAAATAAAAAATTAACTTTTCTACTTTGAAATAGCCAAGATATAAGGATTATTCTATCAAGGACATATGGATTATATGCACAGTATGGCACTCAGGTGTTTCGTCAAAGGATGGATAAATGAATGGTTGGGTCACATCAAAAACCATTCCTTGGGAATGTGGCTTTTATACCTGGTTATTCTTGTCTGTCAGTTCATCAGCAGTTTCAGATTGTTTCTCCAATGCTCGCTCTAACTTCTTGTGTTTAAGCTTCCACTGCCTAATGGATTCTTGAGCTTTCAGTTTCAGGTCTTCCCTCCTCTTCTCCGCCTCCTCTCTCAGGGCCTCTGACTGCTGGAGCTCACTGAGGTACTGCTCAGCCTGTTTGGTTGCATCCTCTGCATGGCGAGTCAGCTCTGAGATCTGAAGGTCAGCATGCTTGCGCTCAGCCTCACATGTGTCAAAGTGCTTCTGGATCTCCTTAAGTCGATCCAACATCTGCAGTTGCTGTTTTTCCCCATTCTCCAGTTCACGTGTTAAATTCTAGGAATAAAGCACGTAAAATATTAGGAACAAATCCTTGTCAACACTGGATGTATAACATATCATCAAACAAGAATCTCTAATGTGACTGAAATGGAAATCATCTGCATTAAAATTCATTAGCAATCAGTTTAGAAAATACGAGTCCTTTTCTTCGTATTTTATAACCATGTTAGTTGGGAATAATTTTTATATAAATATTGCCTCTTTTTTGGACTATTTTATTATCCAAAAAGGGAAAATATGTGTTTCCAATTGACTGTCACCAAAATAAAAGGCACCTTAGAAGAAATAGTAACAACATAGTGTTTTGTCCAACTAAAGAAATTTCAATGTTTTAAAATTTGTCAGGCTCTCATAAAACTATTAGTAGCAATCATATATAACATTTTGCTTTCTGGCAGCAAAACAAATTTATAATATAAAAATCAGTAACAATGAAGTGACAGAAACATCAGCATAGATAACACTATATTAGGCGCCCAATAAAGTGTTTACAGATTGGTTAGTTCCAGATAAACCATCATTATATTATATATTGAAGCACTTATCTCAAGCTGACATGAATCACTGTAGTACAGACTTATAAATACACTTAATTTAAGTTTATTTGGAATATTTCTCTAATCAAGAAAAAAACCTTAAGTCTAGCTTCTCTAAAACCAGGATGGTGATTATATATTTGGAAATTACACTAAACCATCAGGATTAATACATATTTTAAGAATAAGTAAATATCTATTTTAAGTTTAAAAATGAGAAGATGCTGTGTTTCTTTGCAAGTGTATACAAATAAAAGAATAATCGTTCACATTAAGCCATTAAAGAATCTTAAAATCAAGCCACTTTTGTAAAGCTTTGTAAGAAAGTAATAAATTAAGAAATATAGCACTTACAATGAATCACATAAGCCGCCCCTCTTAAGCCTCAGTTTCCAAATACTTCGTGGCAACAAAAGTGATAATAAAAAGGTCATGTGTCCACATAAGAATGAGTTCAAAGGCTAGAATGAGGTTGTGAGTTGGATAAACAATAAATAACATCTCCACGGTACTAAGGCCCAGACCAATGAGACTAGAAACATTTACCAACCTCCCTTGGCCCCAAAAGCAGAATTTCCAAATCCAGATTCCACCATCTATGGCTCAAATAAAGTTAAATATAATTTCCCTCATGATTAAAATCATGGTTTGACATTATGGCAAACATTTTTTTAAATGCCTCAGAAACAAACTTCATTTTCTGGGCAACAAGTTTGCATTTGTCCAGTTTGCTAAATTCAATGCAGGCTGGAAGACGCTCCATCCACCCAAAATAGTAAATTGAGAACTGTTTACTTACTTGTTTGTGTAGAAAATTTTAAAATAAGATCCAAAAGCCCTTGGAATTGTGTTTTACCTTTTGCTCTTATTCTACAAGTTTTACCAGTATGCTAGAAATCAACTTTATTAACAACCAGTAATCAGGTGATTCCTCATCAAAAGAGAAATGGAACTGATTTTTCAACTAATACTTGAAAAGAAAGTGGTTATACTTCCTATTTATCAAGCATATGGTTAAGAAATATTAATAAGACATAGTTTTAATACCAGAGACGCTAACTCTAATTAGGGAGGTAGTCTCAGCAACCACTAAACTACAGTAGATGGTACTATGTGCTAAAACATGATGGAGAGTTACCTAAAGGGGTCTATAGTCTACAGTGTGGCTGCAGAGGGTCTCCCATAGGAGGTGATGTATAAGCTGAGATTTAAAAGAAAAGGAGCTAGCAATAATAATCAAATAACTATGACTACGACTGAAGTGTACTGAGTACTTGAGTTGTACCAAAGATTGAATGCTTCATGTGAATTATCTCATTCAATCCCAACGCAAATCTAAAATGAGACACTACTATTCCCATTTCAGTGAAAAGTAACCAACATTTGCTGCAGTTAATAATTTGCCCAAGATCACATACCTAATAAGTGAAGGCATAGGGATTTGGATGTGGATAGACTGATTCTAGAGCCCATGTTATCAACCTATTGCCAAACTTCCAGATTCTCAGATGACCCCAACTCCATGCCTCTTCAGTCACCCACTGCCATGTTTTTATCTTGGTGTTTTTATCACAACTTCTACCTTTAAAGCACGAGGTTCCTCACTCCACCCTCTTCCCATAATTCTGGCTTTAATTACCCATCTAATCAGCTATTACACCCCCTTCCTTCTGCTTTATCTATGCTTCATTGTCAAGGAGAGAACTACTCCCTTGAGATTTCTTTTACTAGCTTTAAATCTTGGCTCTCTAACCTAACCACGGTATTTTTTCATTTTAGCCAATCTCTTGCTTACACCTTCTTCAAACTGTTCATCCGCCGAACTTTAACAACAAAACCACCAACTACAGATGAACTTAAAAAGTCCCAATTCCTATGTCAGGTTGAGTCCTATAATAAAAATCACACAAGACTATCAGTTGATGTGATTACACATTGACAGTCAACTCACTGGTACTCAGAAAGTCTTCCACATGCCTCTACCCAGCTCACACAATGGCCATCATTACAAAAAGTCTCATCTCTCTGATTCTACCATTTTTAACCTTGGTTTTAATACGTACTATAGCTCTTCCTTCAGAAGTAAAATTGAGGCAGTCAGTTAATGCAGGATACCCCAAATATGTCCTACTTGTAGTATTTTTAAATTTACCAATGGTCAATTTCTTCTCCTTTTTAGCCTCCAAGGAAAGAGTATTCTTCCTTAGACAAATAGCCTTTCTCTGCGATTTTCCTACTTGACTATTCTGCTTTACTTCTCTCATCTCAAAAACTAAGAGTAAAGATTTTTTAAAAATAAAGAAAAGGAAAACAACATCAACAAAACCACTTTCCTCAATCCTACATTATCTTCTACCCAGTATGATGTACTCATTTTCCTCTTAAGCCAAGCTCCTGGAAAAAGTAGTCCGTACTTGATGCCCCCACAACCTCATTTCAATTCACTTGGTTCACTGTGTCTGGTTTCCATCATACTATGAAAACAGCTCTCACCAATATCCCCAAAGATCACCTATAGCTAAATACAAAAATTCTTAAAAATCTTACAGTGGGAGGCTGAGGTGGGTGGATCACTTAAGCCTAGGAGTTTGAGGCCAGCCTGGGCAACATGGTGGAACTCCTGCCTCTACTAAAAACACAAAAATTAGCTGGGTATGGTGGTGTGTACCTATAATGCCCGCTACTCAGGAGGCTGGGGCATAAGAATAGCTTCAAACTAGGAGGCAGAATTTGCAGTGAGCTGAGCTTCCGCCACTGCACTCCAGCCTGGGCCACAGAATGATTCAGTCAAAAAAAAAAAAAAATTCCTTCACCTAGTTTCCTTGTAACATGTAATGCTGTTAATTACCCCTTGTTCATTCTTAACTCTCTTCTTCCTTAACTTTCATAATACCACTTTTTACTAGTTCTCTATCTTCTTGTTCTTTCATAATCTCCTTTGCTGAATCTCTTCTACCATTTAGCATCTTAAATATAAATAACTCTATACAGTTCCAGTATTATGCATCATTCCACCTACACAATATCCTTGGTAGATAAGTATTTAGGTAGTCAGATATTAGTAGGTATTAGTGAGTCCTACATTCAGAAGCCATACTAACTCCTCATCTCCAGACTTTCAAATATCTAATGGCTTCATAACTTTCTCAGAAATCTCACAGGCATCTTAAATTTAGTAAGTCAAGAAGTGAACTTATCCGATGACCAACTCCTAACAAAAAAGTGGTTCTCTGATGAGGGAGGATGGAATTGAGCTGAACTTTGTATTTAAATAGTGAGACGCTCTGAAATAATTACTGTAGGAAAAGAGGAAATGAACAAGAGATAGATGTTTAAAAGACAACGAACAGAAATAAGGTTCCAGTTAGATAGTCTCAAATTTATAATGGACCCAAGAATATACCAAATTCTTTGGATTTCTCCAGCAACTCTCTTGAACCCAGAAGCAAAATAAGTTCAGGGTTATTTATTCTTCTGTAATTACAGAGCAACAACAAGAAGCACAGGATTAACACATTCAAACCCAGAGCTCACTCAGGAAAACTCTTTCGTTATCACATTTAAAAACTGTGAACTCTTACATTAACATGCTACATGCAGTAATTCACTTTGAATAATATTTGAAAAGATCATGTCATTGAATGGGTATGTGAGGGTACATGAACAGAAAAGGGTGTGGATCTTTTTGTAAATAATTGTGCTTTTCACTACTCAAGAGAAATCAGTTGAATTTGTCCTGGATGAACACCTTCTCCAACCGCCCTGAATCTGGAAACTATCAGCAGCTATGTACTGCTTTGCTATCAGCCTGTGTTATGTTTCAGGTAAAATTCATCATCGAGGTCCTTCCTATATTCTCCTAAGGTTCCTATTCAGCCACTGTTTTGGCATTTTATCCATCTTCCTCAAATAACCAATCAGGAAAATCTAACTGGAATATTTATCCCACATCAATCAAGGGACTATGCTACAGAACCCTCATATGAATTCTCAACACACATACACTCTCACTCACATACTTATGCACATATACATAGAGCACACAAGCGTACAAGTGCATAATAAACCCATAGATAAATGCTTTCAGGGTATTTACAGTAAATATTAAGGCACAAATAGCAAATATTATTTTCCTAATGTGCTACATCACATGCTAAGTGAAAAGCATTTTTCTTATTCCCTTATAATGATTTTCAGTTCCATTATTTCTATTATACATTCCTGGAGGCATCTACACTGAAGAACTTTTTATATTCAGATTGTGTGAAATTATCTCATCCACTAAAGCAGAATGGTTAAATTTCATATCACTTAATTAAGTCCATGTTTATTTCTCGCTATATAAGCAGTGTCAAATAAAAGGAACAACTCAGAAATAGAATTATCCACATTACCATAAATTATTTCCCATATACTGACAAAGGTTTATAAAAGCTCCAACTAAATCTAAAACTTTAT